ACATTTACAGACTTATTTGGCGTTAATTGCAAAGATAAAAATAACCTCATTAAAGCGCGAAGCGTTCTTAGAAAAGCATTAACATAGATAATTCTTGTCTTATTGTGTTAATTAATGTCTGGGGAGAACTTAGTTATTAAATCTGGTAAAACATAAGATATAAGTAATAAAAATTCATCAACATTTATTTCGGAAGCATTTGAATAAAAATAAGTGGCATTTCTATATTTCCTTCATGTACAAATCGAATTTTACTTTTACCCTGAAGAATTGCATGTCCTTATTGTCTCAATTTGTTTTATAACTAATTAATATTTTCAAACACTTTTTGCTTGATTTTATTCACTGAAATTTGGTTGATTGAACTTAGTTACCGATTTTTTAAGTTTTAAGCTGTATGTAAGTTTTTCAAGTTTCAAAAATGCTTACAGTTTTAATATTCGATAACCAACTTCAATAGAACTTATCTTCAATGCATAAAATGAGACAATTACTATTCAAAAAATATCAATTATTTACTGAATAAGTGAAGTTTTACGGACAAGTAATTCTCGGTTGGTTAACGAAGTAGATTGATTAAAAGCTAAGAAATTGAGGCATTAAAACCCAAAGAAGCTAAATCCAGTTTTTTTTCTCTTTTTTTTTTTTTTTTGAGANTTTTTTTTTTTTTTTTTTTTTTTTTTTTTTTTTTTTTTTTTTTTTTTTTTTTTTTTGCAAGCCTGTACTTTATAGATTATGCTACGTTTTGGTGTATCGTTCGCTTTTTATATTTTGTAGTCTATTCTGTCTTGATATTTTAATCTTTTTTTCTTCTTCTTGTAACCGACTATTCGTGATTTCTAGTATATATCTTCGATTTAGGGTAACCGACTGTTTGCGATTTGTAGTGTACATCTTTAATCAACAAATATTATTTTCTTTTTTTAACTTTTAAACCCCCCTCTAAAAAAACAAAATTCATCAGATGTTTATTGTAAAAAATCCTGAAGTAAAACTGGATGAAGTCGACTTTTGTACTAATTCCCTTCATTGGTGTTAATTACATTTTTATTAAAAATAGTTTACTTTTTGTGATTTAAAGAAAAATCAAGGAGTTTAATAGAAAAACATATTGGGGATATTATGGTAACATTTTATTTTTTTTAAAACTAATCAATGAGTTTAGGGGGAAATCATTTTCTGACATTATCAAAACATTTAATTTTCAACATTTATGTACGAGTTAGAATTGCCCAAAAGACTATCACCCGAACGATTTATTGAGTAAAGTCTTTATTTACGTTATTTTCCTTTCGCCAACAACTTTTTACTGTTTTAAGTATATTGTATACGTTTATATATAATATATGTATATTATGTTCTTTCGGTAAGCAATCATAAGTTTGTTTTCTCTAATTCACTACAGATATATTCTTACCTTAAGTATTTCATCAAATTGTCCCTTATTTATGTGCAATAGTTGAGTACAAAAACAATAAGCTGCACATTATTTGTGCGTGTGTATATATATATATATATATCACACGCACATATATATATATACTACGAGTTTTTCTAACAATATACATAGTTTCTTCTCAGGTTGTATTACAAGATAAGATTAGATGAATGACAGAAAGATGATGACAAGATTACTTTGAATGACAGAAATTGGCGGGAAAGTTTCAAAAGCTTTTTCTTACATTTATTACTTTTAAAACAAACAAATTAATTTCAAAATTAAGGTTATTTATTTTCTTTTATGAATAATAAATACATATATCAGTCGATTTTTGAAAAATTTTCTATCATATTAAGTAAAATAATCCAATTAAAAGAATCAAAATCTTTTTAAACGAATAATTGCAGAAAAGGGTATAGAATGACAACATAGAAAACTTCAAAGGGGAAAATATTTAGATAACGGATCCAATCGAGTTACAGATTTAATTCAAAACGAGTACGACTTTTAGAACTAATTTCCACCCAAATCCTTTCAGACCCCATTTCACATATTCCCTCCCTCAAACAAACAAAGAGGGGTTTAAATTGGTTTCCTAATACCCTCGTTCCCCCCTCTGCACTCACAGTTAATTATAATTATTCCTTTTAGAAAATGGCGGAAGAAGGCTTGACGGAGAAAGTACGCAAAAGCCTCACCATTTAGATAATTTTCGAACCTCTACTCACAAAACTAAATGGTATTGTGCTTGATCCATTCTTTTAAAAGATACCTAAAGAGGCTTTTACTTTTAATGCACGCTAGAATATGATTCATGAATTTTTACATAAATTCTTGTCCTTTCGACTTTTATCTTAGTTGTAACTGGCTTGCTTAAGATGTACTCTCGGCATCAGCGTGCCATTTTCGGTGCAATAAGTTTGTTTTAACGAACTTTTAACTGAGATAATTTATTAGGAAAACTTGCACGCATCATATAATTCAAACTGGTTGAGTTTATATCTACTTAAATAGTTGAAGATCTTAAGTAGATACCAAAAGGAGGAGGGGGGAGGCATGTAAGTGGCATGTTGGAAACTTAAATTTCTGTAATAGTCGGCACTAAGTATAGAACATTAATTTATCCGTTTAAGTTTATCAATGTGAGGTTTTTAATAGGGAAAAACTGTTTTGTAAACAACTTCCTGATGTTTCCATACAAAGTTAATTTTCTAAAATTTGTTATTTTCCACATTTGCATATATATATATATATATATATATATACACGCGAAGTTATATTTTAAATTAATATGTATAATAAGAGATAATTCTGTAAAGTGATTCAACTGCGATCAATGCAATATAGTCTGCATCATTGTAATTTACATGAGTTTTAAAGAATATTCTCAGAAAAATCTGTTCAACGCAAAACCGGTACTCTAAACCACAATACGGTACAAATTTGCTGCAACCTTAATAAGGTGTTAAATGGCACCAATATAAAATTTCGAAGAAGAAAACATTGTAAAATTTAATAATTTTCAGAAAGTTGTGTACTTCGCTTTGAGAAAGAAATATCTTTAAGTATGTTTTTCGAACATTGTTTTCCTTTTATAATTAGTTTATGTATTTTACTTTCGTATTTTGTTTTTGTATTTTGTATTCTCTTTTCTCTCTTCCTGGTGTTATTGCAAAACCTTTGGGGTACAGAGAGATCAATTTTTAGACTCTCTCTATCGAGAAGGTTTTCTGTTTTTATGACTTCCGGGGCTGGCACCCCCTGACGGCGTCAGCTTCGGTTGTCATTTTTATATTTTTCATTATTTTTATTGTTTTTTTCATTAAAATTTCCTATTGGTTTCAATTGTCCTTATTGAATTTCTGAACCACTTTCCTTTGGAATTGTAGTATTTAACTGCTTTGTACATGATATTTGATTTCTCCTTTTATTATGAGTGTTAAATGGAAGTATGTTTCCGTGTATGTTATATCATTGAATCAAGTTAAAGAAGCAAGATAACATTGTTCACCATGTTAAGGTGGCGACGAATTACAATGAGAGTATATTGTAATAATATTATGATCATATAATGCTAATGATAATGCTTTAAAATATCTAACAATATAAGGACGCTTATTATGCTTATATATAATATATATGCTTTAAAATATCTAACAATATAAGGACGTTCTGCTATAGTTATATTGAAATGTTTATTTTCATATGTATGAAGTTTATTTCAATTGGATATTTTTTTTCCAATTAGTAATATATCTGTTATGAGCCCAAATTATTTTTATCGTAGTGAATAAGACTCAAATTGAAGTGCAAATAATTTATTTTGAAATTATTTGAACATAGGAGGGAACCTTTTTCATGTTGAGGATCCAATTTATTGTATCATATTCCGGAGTTGTATCATATTAACATTTAACTAATTATCAACAATATTTAACTAATTATCAACAACATTTAACTAATTATCAACAACATTTAACTAATTATCAACAACATTTAACTAATGCCATCATAATTGTAAGCAATTTTTATGAGATAATACTCAAAATTATCTTATTGCTTTCCCATTCACAAGCAGTGGTCAGAAAAACTACATTATTTTTGTAGTTTGCTACAATTACTTTGTTACAAATGCAGTCAACTACAACTATAACTACTTTCTTTTTAATATAGTGACTACAAACTACTTTGGAATTTAGCAACTTCTTCTCTATAAGGAGACGAACTTTGTTAGAGAACTTAATTTACAGCCATGTTCAAAGTGGTTTTGAATAAGAAATTGACTTACATTAAATATAAGGGAGTAATTGCGAATTATTTATTCATGTTTACATGATCCATCATGTTATTCTAATTTTTTTTTTTCGAATTTATTCATTTAGTCTTCAAATTTTTATGCCCTTCTTGACAGCGAATATTTAATTTAAGAAGTGCTAGGAAATTATCAAATACTTGCAATTTTGTTTAGTGCTTATAAGAAATTAAGTATATCAAAAACATGTTTCCTATGAAATGACATCGCTGCTTTACAAGTGTACATTCGCATTTGAAAGTGTGACCAAAGCAATAAATTATATATTATTCATAATGGCAAACTCAAATATTAGTTATACGTGACTCTAAACACGCAATTTTCGTTAACTCACAGGGGCATCTATAATTGCTCTCTTTGACACACCTCGAAGATTTGTACCCATCAAATTCGAAAAATTAGTTGTGTTAGAATCCTTTTTCTTTACTATGGTAGCGTAAAAAGTAGTTGCCAGGAATCGCTACAAACTACTTTGTTTTGCATTGCGCTACTCCTTTAGAAAAGTTGCATACTACACTACAAACTAGCGACTACAGTAGTTTCACTACTTGTAGTGCACTACTTCCGATTCCTGATTCTTCTCACTTGCATAATGCTGTCAAACTTCAAATGTTTGATAATATACAAAGAATCCTTTTTAAATATCAGTTTCTATCTAAGGATTTATTTGATTTAGACTTTTTATTAATTAATTTATTTTTGTATTCTCATTGAGCTTCAAATTAACTTTTTTTTCTTCTATTGCAGCTGCTGATGGCTGGACAGTCCGGAACGCCGCTATCTGCAGGCGCTGCTCCAACAGGAGGTGGGACAGGGGCCGGATCCGGCGGTGGAGGTCAGCCCTGCTGTGAGTCCGGCCGGCCCGTCCTTACAGACCCACTGACGGGACAAACTGTCTGCTCCTGCCAGTACGACGCGCAGCTGCTCGGCTACCAGCGGCTTGCGGCCTCCGGACTACCCCTCAACGTCTACGGAACAGCGGCTGCTGCCGCAGCCGCAGCGGCCGCTTACGGCTCCGAACAAGGATTTCTGCCTTTATCTGCTGAGCAATCCGCATTCTATTCTCCAACGGTGCGTATACATCGTCTGCTATTAAGTCCCTCTTTTTTATTTTCTCTTAGTTTAGTATATGTGTGTGTGAAACAACGAAGCAAACGATGTTTAAGAAAAGGAAGAATGAGCCCACCCGCCAAAATCCCCGCCCCTTTTCCCCTTTCTCTCATTGCTTGAAAAATCGATATTTGTAAAGTATGGTTGACAGAGGAACCCTTATGAGAGGAATTACAGACGATATTTTGTGGAAAGATCTTTAAATATGAGGTTTCTACTAAGCGATTATTATATATATAGGCGATTATTATATATATCGAATATTTAGAACAATTCTGATTTTAATACTTGCTGGTATTATTGTTAACTTAATAAGTTCTTCTAGCTGTTATTTATTTAGCTGCAAGCGATTATTTATTTAGATAAGCAGTCAAAATCGTACTTATCAGAATATTTAGAACAATTCTGATTTTAATGCTTACACGTATTATTGTTAACATAATAAGTTCTACTAGCTCTACTACTTCTACTAGCAATTATTCATTTAGGTAAGCAATCAAAATCGCACTCATCAGAATATTTAAAACAATTCTGATCATAATGCTTACAGTTATTATTGTTAACTTAATAAGTTAAATACTCAATCGAATTTCTTCCACGAGTTTTCGAAAATATTTCTCGAAAGCGTTAATATTTCTTTACCAGAGTTCATTTTATTAACTTCGATATGACTCTTTACAAATATTCGTAAGAACTTAAAAATTTTATTTTGCATCAGAATTCTTATAGGAATCAATTTCGAAGTAATTTGTTGATGTCACAAGCATTTATAATCAAAATCAATATAATTTAAAAGTTACGAACTAGAAACGATGGAGTAAACTTTAAAAACTTTTCATTTAAACCGCTTGGATTTTAAGTGCAAGCAGAAAAATCTTGTTTCAAATGAGTAGCTACAAAATTTTATGTAAAGCTGGATATAAGTTAAAATTACAGAAAAAACATGGAAAATAATAAAGATTAATGAAAAGAGACGAAGACAAATTATTAAAATAAAATATTTTTTAAAAATATTTTTTAAAAAATAGAAATAATTAAAAAAAAAAGCCGGAAAACAGAATAGTGAAAAGATAAAATGTCTTCATCAGCTCACACGATTATATCAGCAAAAATGAGTGCTTTCTAATATTGTATCAATATAGCCATAGCAAAATATATCGATACAATAGTGTGAGGAGCACTTAAAAAATTTCTGCGAAAATTGAATACACTAAGTAAAAAATCTATACGAAATTAAACATATCAAGCAAAAAACAGAAAATACAAAACGAGTATAATAAAGCGAGTATAGCTAATTCAAATGAACTTACACCTACCGTTTCAATAATGATTCAAAATATTTTTCTTATAAGATTGCCAGATTACAAAATATGAAAACAGAAGCGCAAGGAGAGGATATATATATATATATATATATATAAAATAGCTGAATTGAAAAAGCGGTTCTCAATATTTTCTTAATAAATAAACACTAAAATAGCCCCAGTATTTTCTGCATGTTTCAGTTATAGCGAACAAATTATAAATGAATTATTTCTTTCAAATTGGAAATTTAGTAAAAAAAGGAACCTTACGCTTAAAAAAATTAACAAAATAAACAAGTAAAATAAATTCAAAGTATTCATAACAAAAAAATAATAGCTGCGATAGTATTCTAAAATTCCCAAAACATTATAATTTTTGATATTTTTACAGGGAAACATTTAAAATGCTTACATTCGAACTAAGAAAGAAAAAACTCAAAAGATTCCTGCATAACTTTAAGCGTATTCAACAACAATATTCTCAAAACAGCCGCCTAAGTTCCACAAATTTTATTATAAATAAGGAATAATATGTTGGAAAAACAAATTATAGTCAACCGACTTTGATACACTTATTATTTAATATTAAATCCAAGAGTCACGTGAGGTAAATTATTATTCGAAAATGGTATTTCCAGCGAAAACAATGATAGTTTCGGAGCAAAAATAAGAATAATAATAATAAATGCAAATAATATCACCTACCACAACGCACGCTTCAAGAAGTTTGCATTTCAAAGTTTGAGTGAAAATTACATCAATCACAGCAAGAGACTTTATTCTACTGCAATCAGAATTATATATATTTATTATAAAGTTGAAATAAATATCCGATTTTGGAATGTTTTTTTTTTTATAAAAAGTAACCCAACCATGAAACGTGCATAAAACTTTGATTTCATGAAATGGTACATCACTTATTTGTTTTTCTTAACATCAACAAATGTTAAATCTTGTTGATTTACGGACGATAAAAAAAATAAACCGATAGGTATTGGGAAGCATTAAAAAATAAATATGCATAATAATACAGGGTTGTATGTCCAAGCGACCGTAAAATTACATTATCACGTGACATTCATTTTCTACAATCAATCTATTATTATTCCTGATTTCGTAGCACATTACATATATTGTTTTGGCGAGTGGTTTCTTGAAAACATAATTTCTGCAGTGAAAAATTCTAATACCACTTTTCGAAAATTCGGGTAATTGTTGGCTGCTTTTTCGAATGCTAAATCCAGTCAACCGAAATGCTATTTGCACTTGATTCGATATATGTAGGAATTTAGTTACAAAATTCTGGAGTATTTATATTGGATTGAGAAAAATCAATCGTAGTTGCCATACGTAATTCATAAAAATTAGTATTGATTTGAAATTGCGAAATATCGTCTGACATTTTCAAGAGATAAATCAACAATTTTCAGTAAGGATTGCATGCACGGAAACATAACGAAGAAATATTTGCTATATATAGAAGTTGCTGAAGCATACGTAATCGTAATCGAAGCATACGTAATACGTAATATAACTCTAATAAAAATTCATGGTAACAAATTATTTATTTGAAATTTGAAAATATCATCTAAATATTTTGAAATAACAAATGCTCGACATACACGCGTGACGTCGCTTGCAGGTATCCAATTAAATTTGATTTAAATCGCATGGTTAGGCACAATCACTACACTTCTCGAGTTGCAAGTATCCGATTTAACACATGAAAAATCCATTATAAAATATTCGCTGATATCAGTCTGTATGCCGATATAAAGTACACTCACAAAAATAAAACTCTCATTTTTAGCGATTCAGCAATGCTTTCGTTAATTTTGTGAATTATTTATTCACTAAATCACGTGATTTGTGATGATATGGAAACTCTCAAATATATGACGAAAATATTTCCTCAATTTGAAACTTCATCGCAGTGCATTGTGGAAGAGTTTTAACTAAAATGACGAAACTAGGATGAATATTAAACGATCGAAAATAAAATGATAAAATTAGTCGTCCGGCCTCGATGATGGTCAAGGGAACAACCTCGAACCAATAAGGTCCCGGGTTCGAATCCCGCTTTGGGAATGGGTGTAATTTATCTCTTGGTTCTATTTGTCTTTCTTGTGTTATTAAGGTACCATTGGCTCTGCTTTATAGTGACTATAAAGTTATTATTAGAAAAGTTCGATACACTAAGAATAACAAGATTTAAAATTTTTTTTTTGAAAAAAAAAAATATAATGACGAAATATTTCTTTACTATTGACGAAAATTCGTTTCTTCAAAAAAGTGACGATAGTTATTCTGTTACTTTGACGAAATGTTTTTTCGGAGTATATACCAGGAAACGGTTTCGTTGAAAACGAAGAAAGTTTCATGAAATATGAGTATCCATTTTTTACAGTTCAGTTGCCAATAATTTATCTTAGTTTTCTTAATAACTACTTGTAGACAATAATTTATCTTAGTTTTCTTAGTAATTATTTGTACACAATAATTTGTCTTAGTTTTCTTATTAATTATTTGGTGACTATAATTTATCTTAGTTTTCTTAATAATTATTTGCAGACAATAATTTATCTTATTTTTCTTAGTAATTATTTGCAGACAATAATTTATCTTGCAATGAAAGTATCCAAGAAGTCACTCACAAATCAGAATTTTTATTTATTTTTTTCTACATACAGTTAGTCATTTTGGTTAAAAAAAAATATCTATAAAATTTTTTTGTCAATTTCGTTTTGGTTGTCCAGTTATAAATTTTTGAAAATATAAGTTTGGTTAAAAAATGCGTAGAGAATTTCAGAAAATTAGCAAAATGAGCGATAACGATTAATTATTTGAAGAACAACTTTTATAATACTAATAAGAGCAATAATAGTTCAAATACAAATTTCAAACGGTTTCTCATAAGAGTTCTAAATCAACTAGCAAAATGTGATACTCAAAACTATTTCTAAAATGAGCAGGGTTGTTTGGAATGTTTAACTCATTTATAACTGGATAATTACTTTGAAGTAGACAAAATAAGTTTTTGGTATTATTTTTTAACTTATTGGTAATAAAAGAATCAACTCCATTGCCGAGTAACATTTCGATGCCTTTTTAGTTTAATATTTAATGTAGATAACGTCCATAACATAATAACAATTCGTCGATAACAATTGGTACTGACGCAATTATAATTTTAAACCAATAGATGAAGTAAATATTTAAATTCAAAACTCATTATTGCATAAACACCTTAATGTAAAACACATCTTAGTGCACCGGTTCCTAAATGGTGTTCCGCGGAACCCTAGAGTTCCATGGAAGAGTGATAGGGGTTCCGCGAGTAAATACTTTTTATAACCCGTGACGATTTCTTAAAGCTCCGATTACATTTAGATCCTGCCTACTATTCATAATTTATTCAATCTTTCGGTTGCCTTTGTGAAATTATTTAAAGTAAAATAACGTTTTTTGAAAGAAACTATAATATTTCTAATAACAGTACACTAAATAAATTATGAAATGAACAAGCATTTATAAAATATTGCATTTGTATTTTCCCATCGCGCTTTTCAAAAGAAAAAAAACTAAATAAAGTAATATGTTTCACTAATAATCATTTTCAACCTTTATAGCAGTTCTTATAAGTTTTCATCGCGATGT